AACCTCGTGCTGGCAAAGCAACACTGACACAATTTCAAAAGGTTACGACTGATTTTACACTAATCTTGCATTGAACTTTTTACTCACAAGAACCTTCATAACTCCTCGCCTAGAAGTACGCAGCAGATAGCAGAGGTAGATTTGGAATCAGCGTTCCAAGCTCTACAAGATAGTGTACATCTCATCCGAAAAGGCCAATTCGACCAACCATCCTTCCCTTGTAAGTTTCAGCGACGAAAGGTTTGTTATCTTTGGCAAAAACGTGCTTTCTTTTTTTGCTTCGCGTTATAAGAACCACAATTTCATCCAAGTCTTAAGAAATGCAATCTTATTAGAGTGCCTTTACCATTATGTCTCAGTCAACTATTGTTTTATCGTTAATCAACAAGAGCATAGTATTTTTGAGTTATTTATTGGGTAAAAGATCATGCTTCAGCTGGCAAATCAGGAATCTCAGTCAGATTACAGCGACTGATGTGATTGCTTTCCTCGGCTTTGTGTCTTCAGCCTGAAATGTGCACGGCATACTCCGTTCAGTCAGGAAGTTGTCTTTTAGCTTCTACTATTCTGACACCTGTTCTGGAGCATGGACATCTTCCTTTCCCAAATGTGTTTGATGCGAATCACATGCGACATCCATCCTTGTCGGAGATCTCCAACCATTCACATGAAATGACTGCAAGCGTTCCCGATCTCTCCCCGTATCAAGAAGAGGAAAGGTACATAACGAATCCATTTGAAAGACAACGATGGATTGTCTTTAGGACAAATGACGCTCTCCCGTCTGAGGTCTCCATAATTGAGCCTATCTTACGAGTACTTCAACTTCTATGCGAAAATCACAACAGCCTCCTGCAAAACTTTATTAGGAAACAGTCTGATCGGGCGAACCATAACTTAGTAGCTGAAACACTAAGTTTTCTTGATACAGTAAGTACCTCAGTAAGACGAATGAGAAATCAGCATTTTATTGTAATGCTTAAAGGTTTGTGGTTCTACGAAAGGAAGTCTAGGCGTATTTGGTGAGATTGGAGAACATAACTTTAGCTTGATTACCCAGACGCTGGCAACACTCACTGAATTCTGCCAAGGACCATGCCACGAGAATCAGGTTCATTCTTCTGCTGCCTGCGAACATTACAAGCAATGGTTATAGAATACGATGGCGATGCAAGAAAATGGCTTGAATATCATCATCTCATTAGTGCTCAATGATATCAAACCACTTGCTGATGATCACATGGAGTTGGCATTGGAGATCAAGGTCATTTTGGATTTACTTTTGAAGAATGTGCTAGCCTTCTAATGGCTTTGAACCCGCACTAACCCAGTCTTTCGCAAATGCCTTTGCGTGGGCTTTCCATCTTAATAAAAAAGTTGAGCTGTGAGCTCACCTGCCTCAATAGGCGTGCAGTTGAGAAGGGAAAAGCGTGGATTCGTGAGTACTAGGATAAACACTTTCTAACGCGACTAATTGCTGAATTTTCTCTACGTCGGTTTGAATATTGCTTCAAAGCTCACTTCAAATTAAGAAATCGAGTGGAGCCCTGACGTAAATGACTGTACATGAAACCTCTTACATGTACGGCACAATAAGCATTATGATTCTCAGTATTGAAAGCCCGGTAGAATCTCTTTGTTGCAGAGCCAGGCTTCAAAGCTGCTTCTAGCTATAATGGAGTCCCGGCACGATAGCGAAAATGCAGAGCGTGTTTTACAAAATATGGATAATACCGATGGAGGTCCTCGTCAATTGGTAAGAATACCAATTAAGAATAGCAATTATACCAACATGAAGATACCTTTTTCTATAACCTAAATGAAGAAGTCATTCCTTGAAGTGTTGAATTGGATTAGGTATAATTGCTATACCTACTATACCTTTAGGTGCATGCTATTACTCAAGCCTATGAGATGGCTCACTCAAAACAGTATGAGATCAATGTCATGAAGAAAGAACTATTGCAAGGTTCAAGTATACAAGATCGACCCAGAAGTATCATAAGCCCATCAATCAAAACGGAAGGAGGTCGTCAAGACCCTTAATTGTGCGCGTAGCTTGAAAAATTATTTACAGCGACACTGCCAGAAATATCTGTTGATTCCTCTGGTACAGTTTCCATACATGATGAATCCAAAAGTGCGATAAAGTACGTGTATGATGAAGCTTGTAGTGTGGATCCGAAAGAGGTCTGCATCCTTTCATTAACGCTTACTCTGCTTTTTCTACCTT